TTGTTGTTGTTGTTGTTGTTGTTGTTGTTTAAGGCACTCTCGAGCCAGGAGTCAGCTCCCTCCGCAGCTCCTGCACTGCACACACTCCTGTCAGTCTCACCTGTTACTATATATATGGAGAGAGTCATTAGTCAGCACACACACCTGTCCCCTCTGCTGCCCTGACACCGCCTTAAGAGTTCACTGCACCACCCTTCCACTGCAGCGGGGCAGAGACCACACCCCTCCCATAGTAGCATACTGCATTACTTTAAAGAACGGTTATGAAATGCCTTCAACATGCACACACATACAATTAATTTGCATATATGTAATGCCTTTGATATGCTGCTTGGAGATAGTCGGGACTCTCAAAGTGGAGCCAGTGAGAACCTAATAACAATAAGAGAACCATTAAAAATTTGAATCGTTAAGTGATTTGAGAATGGAATTGGAATAGCTAAATCCTCATCAAATCTGATCACTACTGAGGGGTCAGATCAAATGTTTTCTCAACAGCTTGTTTTTCTGCATTTGTCTCTTCAGACCTCCAACAGCAGCATGTTGGTGAGGAAGAGGAGGGTCTGGGTGAGGAAGAGGAGGGTCTGGATGAGCAGCAGGTCTGTAACCAGGAGAGGAACTCCAGTCTGGACCAGGAGGACCCAGAGCCTCCACAGATTAAAGAGGAACAGGAGGAGCTCTGCAGCAGTCAGGAGGGAGAGCAGCTTGGACTGAAGCAGGAGGCTGAAGCTTTAGCAGACAACACTGCTGCTTCAGAGAGTCAAACTGAAGCAAGGGAAAAGTCTCTACAGTGTGACACTTGTGGGAAAACGTTTCAGTATAGATGCTTACTGGCTGCACATTTGACAGTCCACACAGGAGAGAAACGGTTTCCTTGTAGCAAATGTGGCAAAAAATTCAGTCAGCTGACACGCTTGAAAAATCACATGAGAATTCACACAGGTGAGAAGTCGTATCCTTGTAGCACCTGTGGAAAAGAATTCAGTAAAAAATCAGCTCTAAAATCTCACGCGAGAGTTCACACAGGCGAGAAGCACCATTGTTGTAGCATCTGTGGGGAAAGTTTCATCTGGAGTATGCAGTTAATACGGCACAGGAGAATTCACACAGGTGAGAAGCCATATTTTTGTGGTACCTGTGAGAAGAGATTCATTCGGAAGATACAGTTAAAGGATCACATGAGAATTCACACTGGCGAGTGTCCGTACTCGTGTAACAGCTGTGGGGAAAAGTTTATTGACCTATCAGCATTGAAAGCTCACGTGAGAATTCACACAGATGAGAAGTCGTATCCTTGTAGCACCTGTGGAAAAGAATTCAGTAAAAAATCAGCTCTAAAATCTCACGCGAGAGTTCACACAGGCGAGAAGCACCATTGTTGTAGCATCTGTGGGGAAAGTTTCATCTGGAATATGCAGTTAATACGGCACAGGAGAATTCACACAGATTAACTGTTTCATGCTTAGAGAATATGGGGACAGCTGCGAGTTATAACAGTGTGCTGGTGGTAGAGCCGACACAGAGGAGCAGCCTTTTGCAGGAGTCTGCTCCTGTTGTGTAGACTTGTTCAGTTGTTTATTATCCAGGGATCGAGTTCTGTTATTGTTCTACTGAAGCCTCGTCTTTTTCTTTTTTAATCAAAGCAAGAGTAACCAAAGCTGAGTGTGTTCATTCAGGTTTTTAAGTCTCAGACAAACATCTGGTTTTAGTTTTTATATATACTTGAATAAATTGTCTCACAGTCACACAGTGTAATGATTTTCAGGCATGGTACTTGGACTTTGCTGTTGTTGTTGTTGTTTTTTAATATAAAAAATCCAGCTGTGTCTGCTAAATGCAGAATAAACTAAACTAAATAAAGATTACCTTCAAACTTCTTTTGACAGAGTTTCACTTTCAGGAGGAAAATGTTTTAATAAGTCATAATAAGTCACTTATTGTGAATTACAAAGTCTGTGGCACAAGAAATCCAACAGCAAATGTCTTCTGCCTGTTGTAGCTGCTACTAGGAGTGTTTATTTGTTGGAGGGTGACATGTTATCAGAACGAGTGCATAATCAGCTCAAACCTGTCTGTCTAGAACACTTCCCTTGTGGGCCAGTGGTGCAATGGACAATCATCTGACTGGATTTTAAAAAATCCAGGTTCAACTTCTGGCTGCTTTAGTCTCTTTGCAGCCTCCCTATGAGGGCGTGAACACACTTTATGGACATGTAGATACTGGGTACGGGAGAGATGCTGGTGCTATTAATCGTTTGGATTCAAATGAAGGTTAGAACAGCAGCTCTGATGTCTTGTGTGTAACTGTATACTGAAAATATCACAGTGTCACGTCAGTGCACTCGTAGAATAAAAAAACAAGAGCTTCATTTCTTTGAATAATAATTTTATGTTGTTTCTCTTCTACTTCACGGAGAAGTCAGTAGTTCTTTATTGATCACAAAGATTTTTTTCTCACTTTGTGCATTTGTGAAGAATGTGTCATTACATCTACATTGATCTGTTTGTCTGCTGTTTGTGACTCAGCAAACACTGCAGGAAGTTTACTTTTCATTATTATAATCAATGAGGAGTTCATTGTATTGAATGTGAACAAACTCAGGTTATTTTTTTACAAAGGAAAAAGGCTTGTGTTCATTCCAGGATCTGACAATGTGAAGCTAATCTGAGAGAATAAATGAAGCAGTTTTCCTCCTTGGTGCTTTTGCACTGATTTTAGTTTGTTGGCAGTAAGTTCACGAGCTCTGTGTGTCTGACTTGATTTCATATGCAAGAAAATGATTAAACACAACTGAACCTGCAGAAAACATTAAAGTGAGACTGAAAGACAACTGTCACACAGAGCGGAGGGAGACACCTGGTGGACAAACACAGACATGACAACAAAAAACACTAAAGCGCAGAGGGATGACAAACAGCTGGAAATAACTCCAGGAAAGGATTGCTGTGCATCAGAAAAGCACTCAGCACACAATAATATCTTGTTGGCTTCATTAAGGAAGTGAAACTGGCTGATAGTGTAGACACCAGGCTGTTTTTTAATAACTGGTTTGTTTTTCAATCTGAGCTCCAAAGGTTGAAAACACAAATCCTTTTTCATGATTTCCTGTCCTGTCGACACGTCACTGAAACGGGCATCGAAGTCAACGGTGGCTTTAAACCTGGAAGAGAGGAGAACTAGGGACAGAGCCAAGCTAACGACAAAGAACAGGACACTTTCTCTCTCTCTTAAGAGAGACACAAATAATTTGTGTGGAATCTTATTTAATGCAGAACAAATAAATAGTCTGAAAATAGTTAATTCAAAAA